GGGAAAGAGAACGTGGGTTGAACATAAACTTATGATTAGATCAGAAAAATTTTACCTTTTGGAGGTGGCTTGTCATATTTATCTTTCAGGTCATCACCAATGTCATCATCCTCATCCTCGTCATGCCCCATTTGATCCCTTCGATCATCTCCCATATCATCACTCTCACTCGCTGTCTCCCATTCCGAGTCATCACTTTCATGGCCATACACATCTTTTTCATCACCTTTACAGTGCACACCCCCATGCTTCAGAGCCGCCTCTCTAAACAACCAAGCAGCTCGCATCTGTTTCTTGACCAATCTTTCTGCGTAATCAGGAACCTTGTTCTGTCTGAGAGAGAGATCCTGGTCATTGGATTGAGAACACTCGTTGATAAAGAGAATAGCATCTAACAAGCTTTCCTTGGCTAAACCAATCATATCATATGCCTGAGCCCTTCTCCAAAGGCTTTTAGCATGCCTGTTAACTGGGTTGTGTAGACACAGTGCCCGTGTTGCATCGCTTATGGCTGTCAATGGCTGCTGCAGTAAAAGATGGCACTGAGCTCGGTTACTGTACAACACAACTCTTTCCTTCTTGGACCTCATTGGGCATAAAGACAATGCTTCTGAGTACTTGGCTGCCGCCCCTGCTATGTTTCCTGATGAGAAGAGGGAGTTTCCTTCGAGTTTCACTACTAAAGCTGCCGCCTGTTTTATGTGAAGATCCTCCTTCGCCATGTTCTTCTCCCATTTCAATCGTTGTCGGGCATTTACTGTCTCTTCAATCAATTCCTTTGATCGGTTACTCATGGAGTTGCGTCCCGAGCCTTGTGATTGGAGGCATTCTTGAAGAACACTGACAATGGAATCTCCAAGTTTCTTGTGGTCTCCAAGATTTGTGATTTCAGCGAGGTCCACTAGAGTCGGCACAGCCTTATCAACCACCTGGAAAAGGTTCATCATAAATGATACAAAGGCATAAACCATTCGAGATCTAACTACGTTAAGAAAAACACTCGCATAATTAAAAGAGGGCAAGTTTAAAATTACAAAAAACATGAGATGGTAAAAGACTTACCTTATGACATGTATTAGGATCTTGCAGCAACCAAAGAAGACACTCTATTGCCATATACTGCCAATCATCAGAAGAACGAGCAATATTACACAATGCCTCAATCATTCCGGGACAAGTAGACACTGGTCCACGACCGAGTTTATGTTGACAGATTGTTCTCAGCAAACCAATACCAGCCGGTGAGTTCTCGTTAACAAGTCCGCCCCACAGGCCCGGCAGATTCACCAAAAACTCGGGTTTGCACAAAGTGGGAAGAAACTCAGGTTTAAAGGCAAAACAGTTAATGAGCTGAAGCGACCAGCACTGCAGTTGGCTTGCCCATTCCTCGGCTTTTCTTGACTCCATTTCAACACCTCCCATTCCGCGTGTCAGTAAATCACAATGGTAACTAAGTCTTCGATCAACATACTGGTAAAAATGAGAATAAACTATTTCCAATGAACTCATTGCTAGTTGGATGGCAAGTTCAAGGATTTCTCCATGATTTGCCAGAGCAGGAAAGGTACTTGGGTAAGTAGCTAAATGCCCTAAAGCTCGAACAGCAACTCTTTGTTCGACCCAAGTGAGCCTACCCCTCAAGAGTTCAACAAGAGGTGGGATTACCCCAGCTTCCACAGCTCTTTCAGCAAATTCTTCCATGTTCATAGTGTAAGATCCAATTATATGAGCGGCATAATACGGGATGTATATGTTCTGGTCATGAGAGAGCCACCGTCGGTTTTTCAGTCCTTTCCATATTAATGCAGCCATACACTCAAATATCCCAAGCTCGATAAATTCAGGATCATTGGGGTGTGCCATTGCAGTATTCCAGAGGCCACTGATCGGGAGAACTTGACCGTCGTCATCTTGAGAAGGAAGGTCCCGAAAGAATTTGAGAATGCACGATCTTCTTTTACTCGGGTTGCCTTCTTTCATCACACAGAAGAAACATCCTGGATAAGGACAGTCTTGGGAAGCTTTGTCCATGGCCAGAACAGTACTTGGCTTTACCCTGGTGAAGTGATTATCAATTCAACATCTGGCGGGCGAACATTTCATCGCTTCACTACTGCAGTGCAGAAGAACGAACCATGTAACATTGTCACATGCCAATGGAAAAAACAAAAACATCTCAAGTCTGTTTTCTGTACTTGACAAGTCTATAACTTTTATGTTATAAACCCTTATGCCAATGCATATCATGCTACAAAAAAATCTCAACTTTTCTCATTGCTACCAAATTTCCAAGAAAACAGAAAAACATATACCAGATAAAAAAGACAAATATGAAATTTATATAACCACAGCCAACTAGGTCGCTACCCTAAGCATAAGGTATGAAATATGAATTGTAGGCTCGAAACAAATTCCAATACGATGTTGTGCAGTTCCTAAATACAGTCAACGAATACAAGACAAGTAAATGCCTTAAAATTTTCACAGCTATGCAAGAACTTTCTGGCGCTCTCTCACCATAAGCTACAATTACAGCTAAAACCGGACATAAAACAACTGATAACAGAAGAATCGACACTGTCCGCGCAAAGACAAAGCTGAAAGCGAAAGGCCGAATGAATCCATATGGGAATAAGCGTCTAGAAATCGAGAAATGAGAAAAAAAAAAAAAAAGGTTTTGTCTCAGAATCCGACAGAGAAATGAAAAAGACAGCTGAAAGATCTCGTAATTTTACTACCATAAACAAAAGCCACACCTAATTGATATCGGGACTGGACAACTGCACTGCTCGAATCAATTAGATCTCTCGGAGCTGTAAAACATTTTAAGCTGTCTAACAGCAGGATCCAATTTCCAAACCCTCAACTTTTTGAAACAGTCTTACAGCAAGATCCAATACCCAGTAAACTTACGGAAGAAAGATCGAATCTTTGAGAAACCCAGAAAACTCCGTCTCGAATACGTTACAAACAAAGGGAAAATTTAGTTAATTTTCCACCAAATTACCAAAGGAAAGGACGGAGAAAGGCCAAAGGGGAGGGAGATACCTACGAAAAGAGAAGCTAGGGACAAAACGAATCCTCAAAGCATCTCTCTGGGCCAAAAAGGGAAACAAGACGAAATATTTTCCCTCTTCCCAAACAGCTTCGCCTGCATGTAACCCTCGCGATTTCTAAGCAGAGAAGCACACCAGTAGAAAAACCAGCGCTTCTGGTTTTTTCTTCGGAGCTTTTTTGATTCGGACAGTGAAAAAAACACAGCAAGGAGAATGACGCGCTCGTTCGTTTTAATTTTATAGAAGTTTGAGACTATAAAGGAAAGTGATTTATTGGATTTACAACGGAAATCAAAGTTTCCCAGAAATAAGAGCGAGTGAAGTGGCGTCTCTTACACACGCGCCTCTCATTTACCAACGCCTCGACAAGAGCCGATCGCTTCCGGTTCTGGTTCGATCCGGTATAATAAGTACCGTACCAAAACCAAATCTTTTGGATTTATTATTAACGATGGTCCCTATATATCAATACCAATTTGGGTTTAGAATTCATTCTGATTTGGAAAATTATAATAATTTACTATAGTATTAGGAATGACATTCAAAACTGCTAGGGACGAGAAGATAGGTTAATAGAAGTAATACGGGTTGGATACCTGACTTAAATTCTAAACCGATTTGGTTTACTAAACCGGATAGACGCTCTAGAGGTGCATGTACTCTGCCCTTGCCTCGGGGGACACGGACACCTATTGGGCGGTGTGAATGACGACAGGGAGAGCGCGTCGCAGGAATCTCTGAGGTAAGAAAATGGTTTATTATTTCTTTATATTTTTAAAATTTCTGAGTTGCTTTCGTTCGTGCACGGACCGTTTTGAAATGTTACTTAAATAAATGATATGATTCACAAACAATTAATGTCAATCAAAATGAACATGGGCTATTATTTCGGCAGAATATATCTTACTTTGGGTTTGCATTAGAAATAAATATGGGTTTATCCATGTGCCCCATTTAGCCCATTACTACTTTTTACCAAATGGGTTGAGGACATTGTCGTACAACATGAACATGGGAGTATAGTATAATCTTTTGAGAAAATCCCATAAAAATAGACGAAATATGCAAAACGTGAAAATATATATATCAATTTTTAATTTCACAAATAAATACAATAAATATAGAAATATATTAAAACTATCAATTCTTGAAATTAAAATTAATTTTTTATACATCGATAATATCATTCAGATTTAATTTTTAATTGGGTTATTTATATCTTTTGTTCGTTTTAGTTTTTTTTTTTAAATCTTAGGGTTTTCGAGGGTAAGGTACGAAATCTTTGTAGTAAAATAAGGTTTTTTCTGCAATATCGCCTACGGTATGTGTATATATATAATATGCTTATAAATTATAATGCGAGAATCCCGGTGTGTCGTCGTCACACCGTCCTCCAACTTCCTCCGATGCTTTTATTGATTCTGTTTCCGCCTCGCCGTTGATTCTTTTAACCGAAATATAATATTGTTTATTATATGTGAAACTAATGCACATACAATTGTATTTGCACCTACTAGATCGTACGTATAAAAGATTCCTATACCCGAGAGAGTTCGATTGAGAAATACTAAATGATGAATTGTTTTATTAGACTAATTAATATATAATCTCATTATCTCACCATAATATTAATTATTAAACCTTAATTAATCGTCGCGGTTTAGTGTTATTAATGTAAAATGAACCTAGACGCATAGGAAGATTGTAGGAAATATGGACTAGATCGTGAACAAACACTGGAACAATGGTTGCAATTAAAAAAAACATTAGCATTACGTATTCGGGCTTAAGATACGTCGAACCTAGACGTTAACATAAACAACATAACGTCGTGACGACATATAATACGACACCCTTTGTTACAATAGCATGCGTACGGCTTTTATTTAGCATGGCCCTAGGTTACGTACTAACGTATGAAGTTATATCACACATAATCATGCATGCATGCAAAGATGATCATTATCAAATTCTGATTCATTACATAACCACACACTACAACAACCCATAATTTGTTTATTTTTTAATCTAAGCTTTTAACTCAAAGCAAGCATCGAGGGCTTCTCCAATAGTCAAGTAGACTTTCCCTCCAATTCTGTCCACGAACTTCGCTTGACTCAGCTTGTGAATGACTTCCCATTTCGGATTAACGATCGCAAGCTGAAATAGTTTTAATTTAAAAAATATTGTCAAATGAATTTTTTTTATTGATAAAAAAAATAAATTAAAGTTAATGAGAATGGTGTTACCTCAACCCCATGTTTGGTAAGATTGTTGTGGAGTTCCTCCAAAGTGGCTATCCCCGAAGTATCGATGTTTATCAAATCTAGAGATGATAGCAATATATATATATATATATATATGCACACAAAATATTTTAGAATTCGTTGGTATGTGCAAAAGAATATAAGATTTTATGACGTTGAATATTAATTTGCGTTTAAGTGCATTACTATACGTACTTGACACATCAAGGACTACGAGGAAAACGTTCGTCTGCGTGTTGCCCTCTGTGTCTTGTTCTTCTTCTTCTTCATTCACCCATCTCACAATCCTACGTATAAACACGTTAAGAAAAACTTAAATCTTGGTTCTAAGGGCCATAATCTTCGATTCTGTAATGTAACGAGGAAAAAAAAAGTTGGCAGCGTGTGTATATGTATATATATATATATGTGTATGTATGTATATATACCTTTCTCTTATGAAATTGGCATTGGCAAAGCACAACAATGCGGATTTGACACGGACAATAAACACTCCAGGAATCTTGACTGCCATAGGGTACTGATCGGTATCGGCAAAGATATTTGTCCCGGGCATTCTCCCAAGCGTCTCTATCCCTGGTCGGATCGAAACAAGAATGATCTTCGCAAATGAGATCGCCACCTACAAAACAAGTCAAACCAATATATACATAAGACGACTGAAACGTAAAATATATACGTATATACGTACATATGTAAACGACTTTAAGAGATGGCAGAGTTGTAAACATTTGACTTAGACCCATCGGTTTTGTTCCTCTACCGTATGTTATATATATCAATTATAGCAAAAAGACACGTTTTTTTCAGTGTGTATATATACCGCGACGAGGAGGCCAATCTCGACGGACGCGAACAAAACGCCGAAGAAAGCTCCGATGCAAGAGAGGAAATCGAATTTATCGAGTTTCCAAATGCGATAGGCCTCGTTGAGATCGATGAGACCGGGAAGAGCAGAGAGAATGACGGAAGCAAGAATGGCGATGGGAGTGTAGAAGAGTAGCTTCGTTAGACATTGCAGCGCCACCAACACGGTCACCGCCATTACTATGTTCGACATCGCCGTCTCGCTTCCGGCCGCGTAATTCACCGCCGTCCGGGAGAACGAACCTACATTTGTATTTGTATAGAGATCTTGTTATATCTCTATATATAGGTTCATTAATATTAACATAGAAATAATGCGTTACAAGTTTTTTCGACATCGCCGTCTCGCTTCCGGCCGCGTAATTCACCGCCGTCCGGGAGAACGAACCTACATTTGTATTTGTATAGAGATCTTGTTATATCTCTATATATAGGTTCATTAATATTAACATAGAAATAATGCGTTACAAGTTTTTTTTTTGTTTGGATATTCTTCTCAACAAAGGAAGACATACATTTTTTTAACGTAAGTTTGATGAAAATGCTCATATATGTGGTCGTTTTGAAATTGGATGTGATGTTGATAAGGTTTAAACTTTTGGCATGCTACTCTAAGTGGTGAATGGTTGGACCGCTTCGGGACCATTGGTGTGTCATATATAATATGATTAAATCTTCTTTAGAGGATAGTCATAAAAAAATGGAAAAAGAAACAGAATTCTTTCTCCAAGGAAAAAATAATGCAATTTTTTTATAAAAAAAATCGGTGTGGAAAAAAATAATGTTTTTATTTTTAAAGGGAAAAAACAGAATTAGCATCTGTGTTGGGTTTTTGCTTGATATTGACCCTCTTTGACCTACGGTTGACCAATCACTGAAAACCAATGGGGTTGGGCTAATCCGGTTTATATAATATGGTCCTCATCTAGGTAAACACAGACACACGTGTATATATATATAAATACATGTGTATGTATATATATAATTACCAGTAGCGGTGTAGCAAGAAGTGAAGGAACCAAGAATGTTCATGAATCCAATGGCGACCATCTCTTTGTTGCCGTCGAGTCTGTACCCTTTGATACCTGCAAACGACCTCCCGACCGCGATTGCCTCCTGAAAGAATTCAAGATACACAAAAGCAAAAGGGTTGTACCCGCGATTAACGTAATAGTACTACTATACTTACGGTAAGAGCAACGACGGAAACAATCAATCCGATCTTAGCGACTTCTCCGATACGAGGATTGTTGAACTCGAGGTCGTGTACGGACACCGGATTCAGCCCTCCTTTGATGTGCCTCACGGTCTTGACGCCATGCTCGTCCGCTTTCGTGATGAACACCATGAACGTTGAGACTATCACAGAGACCAGAGGAGCAATTGCCGGTATCCAGAACAGCTTCTTCTTCTTTTTCCCCTTTTTCAAACAAACAAAAAAAAGGAACAATACCCTTTGATCATTTTTATTCTTACACGTATCTGTTTTGGTTGTCTGAAAGTTTTGGCGTGTGCTTACGATGAAACGAGCGATTAGGATGAAAATTAGGAAAGAAGATCCGAGGATGAATGTGTGAGGACTCCACTGTAAAAAAAGAAAGTGAGTGGTGTGAGATTCTGGTTGTGAGATTAAAGATGGTGGGTGTGGTGATGTCTACTTGTTGCTGACACGAATGCCAAACGGCTCTGAGGACAGAGATAATGTCAGTCTTGGTGGTGAAGTTACTGATTCCGAGCAAACCCTTTAGCTGTTGAAGTCCAATAACAATGGCTGCTCCCGCCATGAACCCCACGATCGCTGCATGTGACAGGAAATCCACCAGAAACCCCAATCTGCGCGAGATTTCACGTGCCAAAGGTGTGAGCTTTTTCTCGATGCTAAAGCAGGGAAAGGGGGGAGAAGATATGTCAAGAACTGCATGCACCTGAATAACCCGAAAGAGGCTTGAAAGACGCCGGCGAAAAATGTAGCGGTTAAAACCAGCTTCTTATAGCCAGTTGGATCGGTTTCGGGGTCGATTAGTTTCTGCAACATGGAGGATATGAGAAGAGAAACCACAGCCACGGGTCCAATGGCTATCTCTCTTGAAGTCCCCATGAACGCGTAAATCAGCGGCGGCACGACGCTGGAGTCTGAACATAGACCGATCAGTTTCATCAGTGTTACCGTTCAAAAATGCATAGATTCTTGTTTATGTTATAGAATCTTACGTACATAGGCCATATTGAGGGTCAAGTTTTGCCAGAGTTGCATAACCAATGCTCTGCAAGAACAACCAAAAAAAAGCCCAACACGACTCTTGATATGAAAATCTGTCGGAAGATTAATTATTGCCAGATCGATTCAAGAACAAGTCCATTGTGTGTACCTGAGGAATGCAGAGGCTGGCGAGAGTTAGACCGGCCATGAGATCGTTCTTGAACATGGAAGCTTTGTAGTTCTTGCACCAACCGAAGATTGGGAAAACCGCTTTGAGAATAACAAAGACGCGTTCTGGGACAGGCTGGCTGCGAAGAGACTTCAACCGCTTGGCTCGGGGAGCGATGGTGCCTTTGACCTGGTTCTTGAGCTCGAGCCACGGGCTCGGTGGCTCGGGACAGTCGAGTAGCCACTTAGACCTCTCGTTCACACCACCATGATTAGTCCCAGTGTTCTTCCCGAAATCAAGAACACGGTCTTCTTGACCGTTTTCAACGACGGATGAAGTGTTTGCCATCTGAATCTGCGTAGGCTTTGAAGTGTTTGGGAGAACTTGGGAGAGAGATTCATCACAATCTCTCCCTTCGAGATTCATCTTTTTTATTTTCCTTTTCCTTCATGTGTTTTTAACGTGTGAGTATGAGGAAGTTGAAGAAGTGAAGTGAGCATTCAAGGCGGTGGATGCTGAGTTGCATGTGTTGAATTTCGAGTGCTTATATACACAATTAGTAAGGTTTCACTTTTTTTTCGGGGTTCATTTTATTAAAGAAATTGAAATTTCACAAAAAAAAAACGTAACCTTTTTTTTCTTTGCAAACGAGGACCATAACTTTTAATATGTTTTTTTTTTTATTACCATATATGCTTTTAAATTTTTGTGGTGAAAAAGGGAGTAATCAAGTCGTCAACCCAATTCCCTCCGCAACAACGTAGTAGGTGGAATGCAACCTCAAGCACATTCCTCTTATCCGTATCTTTTGCAAATTTCCTTTATATGTTTTTATTGTTTATAAATATAGGTAAAACGAGAGCGCAAAAGATCTGTACCGTACCCAGTTTTGAGTCTTGAGTTTGTGATGGCTTGTACGCAAACAATTTATTTATACATTAACATTAACAATTTTTATGAAAGTTGTCCCGCCCTAGTGGTCTGGTGGCGTGGGAGCACAAAGTGCTTCTCCACGTCCCAGGTTCAAACCCCACCGGGACAATCACGTAATCAAAAAAAAAAAAACTTTTATGAAAGCATAACAAATGATTATTTCTAACGATTTTTCATGAAAGTGTCTCAGATTTTAACCAAAGGTAAATTCTCGTTTGATCTATTTTATACGGATGCAGAAATCGAAATTAGGAGGGACTATAGCAACCCTACCATGAAGTTATATATATATATATAACACTAATATAGATTATCATTTTTTTTTATAATCCGAAAATTCACCGAATCTTTGACCCAACTACATCTTCCAGATGACCCGGACAGTCCATGTGAAAACCTCTCCCCAACCAGAAATCGAACCGCCAACATCTGAGTGATTTGCACCCAACTGCTGACGACTCGGCCCATTGGGTTAGATTATCATTTTTTACTAAAAAAATAAAGATTCTTCTTCTTAGCAACGTATATAGTGTGGGTTAAGACATGGTTAGATTACGATGGTCGGAGTAGTGAAGGCACTGTGGAGGGTTATGAGAGAACAGTGGTCATGCCACAGCCAATAAATGAGATGTCTTTGTCGTGGTCTGGGTCGGGGTTTAAAAGTGGAGAAGACACCATGAACATCCAAATCAGAACGAATACATACATATATGCATACACTGCGGTACAAAATGGAAAGGATGAGTCCAGGAATTATATGGGCTTATAGGAGCCCATAAGACTATTCACAATCATGGATAGTATTATTGGGCTTATTTTATATGGGTTCCATGACAGAGGTGAATGATATTTGGAAACGGGCATCGAAGAAGAAATTAGAATAAACGATATGTACACTTTCATTATTATTCATGACCAAGAAGCCCATTATTTATGTTCGCGAACTTACTCCTTTCCTCATGTACCAATATTTTTTATAAATATTTTTTTTTTATAAAAAAACTTTTTTCGTTCTTATCATTAAAATTGTTTACCACTATATTTTAGGGATGTAGGAACGAGTTAGACCCGCGAGTTTCGTTTTTAACCGAGTTAGATTGAAAAAATATGAATCCGAAAAAAAGTCTGGCAAGCAAACTCAACATTAGCCGGCTCGGTAAGGCAATTTGTTTTTTTTAATTATTAATCTGTAATAATTTTTTAATATTTTATTTTAAATATTTTCTTATTTTTAAAATATTCCTCATTATTATTTTAAATATTTTTTATTCAGCGAATCGGGAGACGATTTGATTCGAATCAAAGTTTTTCAAACTTGGGAAAAAGGGAGCACAATCAAACCGGACCCAAAATGAACTAACCCGTTTTGTATCTCTAATATATTTCTTTTATAAAAATCTAGACTTGTTATGTTTTCAAGAATTTTTTTTACCAAAAAAGAAATTTTTGTATAAATAAAATTCGTTTACATGCCATGAGTGGACTCACAATCGAAGAAGAGGCGCCGAGGAGGAAAGGAAAAGACGAAAAGAGGAATTATTACTAACACGTGCAAAAATAGTAAAAAGAACTAATACCCGCTCAATAAATTTAGAAGACCAAAAAAAGAAAAATGTGGTCGATTATCAAATAATACGTTAGTAGTTTTTGTTAATCATATAATATAGGCACGTGCTAATAGAGTAGACACGTGTGTAGCAAATTGATAAAGATGGAAAAACGAAACGACCGTAAAGAGGTAATAAAAGGGAAAGTCGGAGTTTTGACATGCGGACAGGTTACGTGTCCGCCGTCAAAAAGGTCTATTTTCCCTTCTCTTAAAAAAAATAGTTACTGTTTCCGGCGACTTCGTTACCGACGACAGAATCCAAGAAATAAAAATCAAAATTAGGGCACAGAAAAAGAAAAAAAAAACATCTGATTTGGAGGAAGCCATGGGAAGAAAAAAAATGGAGATCAAGCGAATTGAGAACAAGAGTAGCCGTCAAGTCACCTTCTCCAAGCGACGAACTGGTCTCGTCGAGAAAGCTCGTCAGCTCTCCGTTCTCTGCGACGCCGCCGTCGCTGTCCTCGTCGTCTCCTCCTCCGGCAAGCACTACTCCTTCTCCTCCGGTGACAGGTACCCTTTTTCCTTTTCTGGGTCGCTGTTATTTTCCGGGTTTCTGCCTTACTTGTTTCCCGAGAAAATTCGAGGGTTTTCACTGCTTAATCTCTGCAAAACAAAAAACGCCACCTTTTCCCGTGCTGTTTGGTCCGGTTGGAGTTCCTGTGTCGAAGAACTCGTGTGAATGCCTGTTTCTAGGTAATTTATATGGGTATTTATCGTGAAATCTGGAAATGGCCAATGTTATCTTAGAATGGTTTATGTTTTCTGTATACTTGATTGGTTCTGTATTTGTTCGTATTTAGTGACGAGGATGATCAAACTTAATTATGATCTGAGGTACCATAGGTTCATAATTTCACTGAATAAAACGTGATGCGACCGTTTGTGTTTTGATTCCTTGGGAGTTCGCAAGTAAATCTAAAGTATATCAAAAAAAAATTTCCTTTGTAATTCTTTTATAGCGTTTTGCATGCGCTTCAAGAAGCTAGTTGCACGTGGTGGCACGTCCTGTCTCCCCGTGTCATGGCTTCTCAGTTCACCACTTTCTTTTGCTCCTTGTTTGGCTTTTTATGAATTTATGAAGCTCTCATTATTTGGACATTGCTAGGCTTATAATATTTTCATATTGGGTGCATTCATGTTATGCAAAAGAGTGAAATAAAGAAGACAGAGTTTGAAAACTTGTGGTACTTATGGTTGTTTCTTATCTTATGAATGAAAGACAATGACGAGAGGAGGCTGAAAGATGTATTTATAAAGGATTGTTTGGAATTACCGATGAATTTATCATACAATATCAGCTATTTATACTAACACTCTAAATACGATATTCGCCCCTATACATGTTAAATTATCTAACTCACCATTAACCGCGAATAATAGTGAAACACATCTCACACATATAATTTAAATTTACCATAGTGTGAGAATTTAAAATGTACGGGGGAGAATGTCATATTTGGAGTTTGAGTGTAAAGAACTGATATTGTATGATATTTTTATCGTTAGTTTCAAACAATCCTTTATAAATTCATAAACCGCGAATAAAAGTGAAATACATCTCACAAAACACTTGTATAATCCAAATTTACCACAAGATAAAACCTATAACACTTTGACAATGATGAGGGGAGAAATGATGTAAACAAACGGATCACACAATCTCAATACATGTTTGTGTGGTTAATCATCCATCTGATTCATTAGGTACCTAATGAAAATTTTTGATAATGAAAATTTTGTGTTACCAATTCTGTGTTTTTTCATAGTGTGTATATAAGCTCTCCAATGTCTATGTGATGTCCTTTTGAGAAACTTGTAGAGAAAAAGTATTTTGCCACTCATTAAATTAAATCGAGAATGTTTCTTTTGAGTTTTATTGATGCATTCCGCAATTGACGGGTGAATGCATGCACATTGCATATGATTGATCTAAGATCTATTAATTTCTCTTTTTATGACAATTAATGTTGCTCAAATATTTGATAACTGAATTCAGTTGATTCTATAGTTGGAGTACTTGAATGACTATAAGGCTTCTTCGACTCTCATTACCTTGCCATTTTCCTTGCTAGATTGTTTACACTCTTAGTTATCATTTCATGGAATGAAAAGTGGAGACATGAGTATCAAAACCAACATTTTGTGTTAGCAATTATCATGAGACCGAGATTGGGAATATTTTTTAATCATGGTCTAGTATGCATGATCCCCACACAAGTTAAGGACTTAGCTATAAACAAGAAACTATGTGCATCAATGTAAAGAGAGTGTCAACACCATTGTAAGTTGGCTTTACTCTTTACCCATACATGGAGGAGGTGTTTTCACATTCATTTCCCTTGGGTTGAATGAGTCATATTGGGCCATAAGGTCCAAGAACTTGTTTGTTAACCCAAGCACACCCCTTTAGAGAAGGCATCAACATGTCACAACTTGCACACTACATAGTTTTCACATAAAAGGATCAACACAGTTCGAATCCTCACCTGGTGAGGGTGTTTGGAAAGGGAATATATTAGGCAGTCTTACCCCTAGTTTTTGCATAGAGAGGTTGATTCAAACCCGCGATCTCAGATTCCATGACAAGTGAAACGCTGAGCCAAGTTGGTCCTTCATTACATAGTTTTCACATGACATTAGAAAATGTAGGAGCCAACATGAAATTCCAATCCCTCCATATTTCTTGTCAATCTTTGTGGTATGTGCCAAAATTTTATAGTCGATCTTTAGGCGTAGGATATGAGTTCGTTCTTCTTTCAGTGGTTGCAATATCATGCTAGCGGAATCGGTCCAACTATTCATCTCCCCAAGAAAGACATCAATATACCTGGAAAATTTTATTAGACATGGTTCTTTGTCATTGTTGGTGCCTGCCGTAGAATGCGTGAAATGTTTTTCTAGAGTTGAAAAAAATTCCAACAAAAAGCTAAAGGGGTTAGAAGATGATGGGAAGTTCTCTTTGCATTCATTAGAAAAACAACTAAATTGTGCATGCTCATGTCTATATGGCCCTTGTAGTTGTGATTGTTTGAGCCTCCATATGTAGCTGCATGTGGCAGGTTTTTTTTTTGTAATGGTAATTGTTTTAAAGAGAAATCACATGGCAGAGGTTTGGGGAAATAGAAAGCCCATGTTTATATCAAGGTATTTGAAAATCATAGAGATCAAATCCTTAGTCAACTTAGACGCCCTAGAGTTAGGAAGAGCGAAACTACTGTTGAAGAAGATCAATTGTTCGCTACTCCGTTTTGTTGCATGGGGACGTTTGATCGCTAAGAATTAGCTAGTCGCTAGAATTACCGATGCAAGACATGGATGCATAAAGTCGGGGGAGTTAGACTAGCTAGTGGCTAGTAAATGGATAAGAAATCCTCAATATGATCGACAATAGTTTTTTAGTGATTAAAAATGTCATACTATTAAGAAGTTACACATCATATTTAGTGTAGGACATTTTAGGATGGAGCACCAATTCTTGTAATTGATACTTGTATGGAGACTATACTTGCCTTTAGTCGATAAATCCTATACTCTTGTCAATGCAACAGTGGTAAATGAATGAGAACCTCGGATTTATATAAAAAACACTAGGCCACTGCAAAATGGACGATAAATAACCAAGCTCCATAGTATTACGTACCCTAGTTGACTTTTAGGTGTAAGGTGGTGAACTGAACGGTGATTCGGTCTCGACTTTTGCTCATCGAGCCTGTGAATCTATCAGTTCTCTCCGATAATGCTATAAGCGTTTGCTAGTTTTGAATGGCTCATGCGTAGATCAGTTTCAATGCTAGCATCTCATTATCTGATTCTCTCTCCAGTTTGACCAGGATTCTTGGTCTGTATCGGGAGAAACAAGCTGATGAAGATCTGAAAGCCTTAGTAAGTTGCTACTATTGGTATTAGAAACTTTCGTATATACATATATGAGCTGGTTTTTCTCTCCCTTCATTATTGGGCATGTGGTTGTGGTTGTGGTTATTATTGCCAATGTTGTCTTAAGACACATCCTGCGGCTTTAAGAGGATCTGTAGTAGTTCATAACATGATGGTGCTTTAAGCTACTTGCTTCAAAGCCATCAAGTGAATTCTGCACTTATGTCTATACTGTATAGATGACATAGAGGAACTCTTTTTGTTCCACAGAGCTGATCTTATGAGAACAGGAACATAAAGTTTAGAACTTTGTCGTGCCCAAATTCTCAAGGATCGTGCTTGTGTCCATGAAGGCACAAGAACTTCTCAGCCTTTTTCCATTCTCTGTCCCGTTTTCATATGCAGGATCGATTGGAATCTGGAAACTATCTCTCGCACAAGGAATTACTAGAAATAGTTAACAGGTTGGCTACTTCTTTTCCTCTGCCATTTCGAGCTCAAAGATATTGCGGCGGCCATGACCACTTGTGTTGCCTTTTTCTAACGAATCTGTAGCCAACTGGAAGAACCGAATCTGGGGAACGTAAACATAGATTTCCTCATTCAGATGGAGCACCAGCTTGAGGTGGCACTCTCAGTAGCTAGAGCTAGGAAGGTCAGAACCTATATACCGATGAACTCGATCCGTTTTTGGCAGATTGATTCAAAATATGCATGCTCTGTTTTCTCCGTCCGCTTGCAATCCTCAACTCCATAATCTTTTTTATTGCAGACACAACTAATGATGGAGTCCTTGAAGGCCTTCAAAGGAAAGGTTAGAACTAATCTTTAGTTGATCTCTTTAGACAACACTTATGTGGTCGGATGGACACTTCTATGGACCATGACTGTTATGTTAGAGCCTTGAGTACGTACGTCGTCTTCTGAAGCTAATCTATTGGACTCTTAGTTCATGGATTCAGACCTTAGGAATCTTTGCTCTACTGGAAGAACAGAGCAGCAAATTCACTGATGAGTTTCAGAAAAACTGAGATTTTCCTCTGCGGAATCCTATCAAATGTGTTTTTTTTCCCTTTTCAAACAGGAGAAATCGCTGAGAGTAGAGAACCAGCGTTTGGCAGGCCAGGTACTTTCTCTTATGCTATACGTGATAGATATACATATATATACATGGACGTAGATGTATAAACATGCTGTTAAACACGTACATGCATGCCCAGATACATATACATATATATATAGATAATTGAGTTGAGAAAAGATGGAAGAGAGAAAAGGAGAAATGGTTGCTTAGAAATGTAATTTCTCACAGTTTGGAGGGCCGATTCTTGTGGAAGAAGAGGCCGACAAGGCAACCACATCGGAAAACAACTCCGGCGAAGAGCATCAGCAACCACAGGAGACTCTTCGTCTCCTCACCTGAGAGTTCTGTTGAAATGAATATTCTCGTCGTTTTTCATAATCTGCATTTCAATGGGAAAAAAAATCTTTTCCATGCCATATACACAATTGGAATGCTGTAATTTATAGAGTCGCGAGGGCTTAAAAGATGCTTTCTTCACGGTGAAGCACTTTGAGTTTTTTTTCTCTCTTTTTAGCCGATGAAATTATGGTGGGGCCGGCCTCCGACCGAGTTGGAGCAGCTGTCATTGTACTACGTGTTGACAACCATCAACCCGTCAGCATAAAACTCAGAAATTAGCGTCTGTAGAAACGCAAATCTGAAACGATGTTTTGATTTTCAAACAAAAAAAAACAAAGATAAAGGTCGATTGACATTTACGTACTTTCCATAAAATTTGTTGTATTATTATTATTTCATATCGCAACTTTAAATAGAAAAAGGAACATCATGAAACAAATCAAATAACAACAAAGCGTAACAAGCTCCACGTGTCCGAGATTTACTCTTTGACCAAGATTTCTCAAACTCGTAGCCACTCCCAACTGAAAATCCGAAACACGATCCGAAACACGACCTTACTTTTGAACGGGTCTCTTCCCTCTTTTTTTTTCAGACAAGATTAACTCCAACAATCTCCCACTTAATCTTGTCTTTCGATCCTTGTCACAGTAGCGTCGGTTCTTCGTAGACTTCTTCCGCGAGATGGATTTCTTCGTCGTTTTTCGATCTAGGATATTCTGAAGCGTAATGTCCATACTTTTGACAAGTAAAACACTGTATGTGTCCTTTATCACGTTCACCTCTTCCGCGTCCATGACCTCTTCCACGCTTCTGTCGAGTTTGCCACTCTGCATAAGTGAGCAAAAGTTGTCCATCGGAGTTATCACCCATATTGCGCATCCGAATGATCCGGTCCTCAAATACTTTCATTCTCCCGATCGCTTCCTCGAACGGCATGTTATCAATATCTGAATACTGTTCTATAGATGCAACTAATTGAAAAAACTTATCTGGCACCGAATCAAGAAGTTTCCTAACGAGTGTGCCATCCTCGAGAGTAGCACCAAGATCGCTGTATTTGGTGACCATACTGCTCAATTTCCCGGCAAATTCATCAATCGTCTCACCTTCATTCATACGCAAAGCGTCGAATTCACTTTTCAAGGTTCGCAAACGTGCCTTCTGCACACGATCAACCCCCACGTATCGGGTCTTCAGGGATTCTCAAATCTCACTAGCGGATTTCTTCTTTGCTATCTGCATAAGAACATCTTCCGGTACCGTTTGAAAGATGAATGCTCGAGCTATCTTATTCTTTTTCTCGTCTACGACCACTCCGGTCGCAGGTTCAACTGCGTCCCAGATCCCCTGGGCATCCATGATCGCCTCCATCTTGATCGCCCATGTCGTATAATTGGACGACGTCAACATGGGGCATTGCAACGACACTGCGCCGTTTTCCTTGACTCCTTGCGTGATGAGTGACATAGTTACTCATACAAGTCTTCCCGACTAGACACAGGTCCTCCCGACCAGATATGGGTCCTCCCGACCAAGCACAGGTCCTACCGACCGGGCTCTGATACCAAATGTCGAAACGCAAATCTGAAACGATGTTTTGATTTTCAAACAAAAAAAAAACAAAGATAAAGGTCGATTGACATTTACGTACTTTCCATAAATCTTGTTGTATTATTATTATTTCATATCGCAACTTTAAATAGAAAAAGGAACATCATGAAACAAATCAAATAACAACAAAGCGTAACAAGCTCCACGTGTCCGAGATTTACTCTTTGACCAAGATTTCTCAAAACTCGTAGCCACTCCCAACTGAAAATCCGAAACACGACCTTACTTTTGAACGGGTCTCTTCCCTCTTTTTTTTTCAGACAAGATTAACTCCAACAGCGTCGCCCTTTAATTTTAAGATAAAACGTATATATATATTTCTCCTGCGTGTACGTAGAAGCCCGATCAGTTCACGTCTTTTGCGTAAGCTGTAGTTTCCAACTATTAATACGACAAAAAACCTAACCCCTTTCCCACACGACAACCTTCGATACAGATTCTCTAGATGTCTGAGAACGACACCAGTGGCTCGAATCACGTAGACGTCGACATCTGATCGAGGAGTACGATTTCTAGGTTTATATGAACTCAAACCAGCGAAAACCTCGGCCTCATCCTGAGAAACCCTAAACTGTGGCCGACGTCTCTGCAAATTTCTACGTAGAAATCAAAGATATCGAACACGAACGCAGTCCGTGGCTTCAAGAATCAGCGTCCTCTTCCTGTTCGATCGAGCTCTTGGGCCAACGAGGAGAGGAATCGGGGAAGAGAGAGAATCTTGAACTGAATTTCCCTAATCAATACCTTTACGTATCCGGGCCCAGTGGTATATGGTATAGATAACGTTTTTTTGTATAAGAAAGCCCTATGTGGGCCATTAGGGAATGTATCCGGCCCACCCAAATACGAATTTAATTTGAGATTCACACCAAAGCAATCAAAGCTATACATATACAATGCATATGCATATACATATATATATATATATATACACATAACTAGTTATAGAGTAATACAACGTGGACTAATTGACCTAACGAAACTTAGAAGACGGTAATATCGGAAATGGGTTGTTTTTGTGTAAAAAGCAAGTTATGCGTAAAGATTAAAGAAAAAACATGTGATGTCCGGACGAAGTTACACTGTGGTTTCATTACTGTATTATATATTCACAACACGGATGTACAGATTCAATAACTTGTCGTTTATCAAAAAAAAAAAAAAAAAAAAATTGGCGGCATGACACATATGCATTCTCCTTGAAACGAATGATCCAAGAAGATATCATCTTGATAGTGTTGACTTTTTATATTTATGTGTGTATTTGATCCTTAATTTATCAGTTTATTATATCATCGAGTACGGCGGAGCCGCAGCCGCAAACGGATCGAGCCGACATCACGGAACTGAAAACTGAAATTGGCGCAAGATACGATACACACTCTCTACATCCTTACATGTGCTCTTTATTACGCTCTCTCCCCAGATATACGCCCTAATCCCGTTATATATATATATATATTATATGTATATATATATATATAACCCGTCGATTTTAATCAAACCCATCAAAACCTCTCTCTCTAGACGTAATGGCGATGGCTAGGACCGTATGCTCGGTGGTTCTGTTCTGCGCTGTCAGCTTGTTGCCGTTAGTGGCCGTGGCCGACGACAGCGAGTTTCAGATAGAAGGGTGCGTCTATTGCGACACTTGCCGGTTTGGCTTCGAGACCGATGCCTCCGAATACATCCCTGGTACGTTACCGTTACACATACGTATTCATCATACTCATGCATATGTGTATATACACACATGTGTGAACAACAACTATAATATCGGTGAGGTGGCTAACCAATAGTATTGGTGCTACAGTTTGAACTCATCATTCCCTTTGAAACATGAAAAAAAAAACAGCGTTTGTACCACTCAAGAACGTATAAAATACACATGTATATGAAATAACAGGGGCAACAGTGAAGATAGAATGCAAAGACAGGGTGACACTGAGGTCGGAGGAGGTGGCTAAGGCGGTGACGGACAAGGGAGGGAGATACAGAGTGACGGTGAAAGGAGACAGACAGGACCAGCAATGTCTGGCGAAGTTGGTGGACAGTCCAATGTCTGGTTGCCAGGAACAAGACCCTGGTCGCAGCTCAGCTACGGTGATCCTCACGCGCTCCAACGGCGCCGCCTCGAACCGCCACTTCGCCAACGCCATGGGCTTCCTCCGCAGCCAGCCCCTCCCCGGCTGCGCCGCCCTCCGCAAGCGTTACCTTGCCGATGGCGACTTCAAGTCTATTTAATGTCTTTTTCTTTATATATATATATACACTGCGCCGTTTTCCTTGACTCCTTGCAGATCGGA